GGCCGGGTATGGACAGAAGATGGTGTAAGCTGCAGTGGGCAGATTTTTAAGATGGCTGTCTGGGGTACCCCTTATATATCTCCTCCCTTCAAGTGGGAGGGACTGTGAGTATGATGAGGTTACATTATATGGTAAGGTGAAGTGATTTGGCAGATGTGATTAAAGTCTCTACCTGGTGGACTTTTAAGTTCATTAAAAGGGAGATTGTTTTGGGTGGGCCTGACCTAATCAGGTGAACCCTTTTAGTGTGTGTTTCTGTGTGTGTACATATGTATAAAGTCTAGAAGTCAGAGAAGAAAGAAGTCAGGGAGATTTGAAGCAGCAGATACTCTTCTATTGGCCTTGAGAAAACAAGCTGACATGGGGTGGAGAGGGGGAAGGTCAAGTGGCCCCTAGGAGTTGAGGGTCTCAGTCCTACAACTGCAAGGAACTGAATTCATACAACAGCCAGGACGTTTGGAAGAGGACCCTGAGTCTATAACATGAGATCTGTTATGGGAGATCATCAAGGAGGTGTGATCACCAGTTGACCTACAAGCTAGAACCAGGCAATTGGAGGCTCATTACTTCTTCCTCTGTCTTGGGAAGGTGCATCCGGCTTGCCTACTCCATTCCCAGAAGCTGCCCCAAAGATACAGGCTTGAGATAATGATGTGCTGACGGCTTCTGGGTGGTATGTGTGACTGGACCCAGTTAAGTCTTCTATATAAACTTTTAAGATTTGGTGGGGGAGTGGGGAGGGCCACTCATCTTGTGGCTCCCAGGACAGATCTCGTAAATCCCCTTGCTTACTGAAACTGCCACCCACCAGTCTGGAGTGGTCTGCTTCTTTCTTCATGCTCTCCCTGCCCTCCTGAGTAGAGGGGCCCAATTCAAATCACACCTGGAGAGCTCCCAGCCCTGGCCGTCACCTTGATTGGTGAGACTGGGACCCAGCGACCCAGCTAACCTGTACCGTGGCTCTTGACCCATGGAAACCACAAGATAATAAGTTTGTGCTGTTCTAAAACCTGCTAAATGGGTGGTGATTTGTTACTCAGCATAGCTTACTGATACACATGCAAATTAATGCAAATTGGAAACTAGAAGGCATAGCATCTTTGCATAGTAGGTGCTTAATTAGCATGGTTCTGGCCTCCCCTTCATCCCAGAAACTACCTGTCTTGAGCAAGGGCTGGGCACCTCTAGACAGGCAGGTGGATGTGAGGGTAGATGTATTCAGGAGCAGGTCACTTCTCTTTTGGCCATGTTAGGTGGCCCAGGCACTTGTGACTTAAGAAAAGTCAGCTGAGGCTGGATTCCTTCCCCGGCTTGGATTCCTTCCTCAGCTCGCAAAGGCTCTTAAGACGCCACAGCAGTCACACAATCCCATAACTTTTTTCCCCTCTGGGCTTAGGGGCTTAGAAATGAAAATATTTTGTCTCTTTTGCACAGTGGGGGAGTGTGGGGGTGTTGGAGTCTTCATCTGTAACACATAGCACCATAGGCAGCCCTATTACCAGCCCCTAAAATATGCAATTGGGGGGAAAATGGATAATGAGATGAGGTTTGAAGACTGAGCTCTGCATGGCTTAGGATGCAGCCAGAAGACAGAAAGGGAGTCATAAACATCAAAAGTGGAAGAGAAAATGTAACAATCATGTCCTTTGAACAAATACCTTAATCATCTTTCCAAGGCTGCATGCCGGGCTGCCACAGGGCATGTGTGTTAAAAATGACACCTTCTGCTGCTTCTGTTCCAACAAGTCACAGCTTAAAAGCCCCTCTGTGTGCTCAGCAAGACCCAGCCTCGCAAGGCAGAAGAAAGGACTTCTCAGGACTCCAAGATGATGTGCTCTGAGCTGGAGGCAGTGTTGCCACCACAAATGAGTGAGTCTCCCAGGGCCTGACAAGGGGTCCGCAGAGCTGGGATCTGTCCCACCTCCCCAGACCTCAGTGTGAGACCTCAGGGCACCTGTCATCTCTTCCTCATCATCTACCTGATCTCTTCTTGTTCATTTGTGGGAGCCACCTCCTCCAGGAAGCCTCCCTGACTGCAGTCTGGGTCAGGGTCCCTGGCCAGGGTCCTGTTGCCCACCAGATTTTGCTTTCAGAGCAGCTATTAAAGCTGTGATTGGCAACCTTCTTGATCTACTCTCTGACTTGACTGCTGGGACTCTAAGCTCCAGCAGGGCAGGGACAGTGTCTGTGTGGCTCATTGTTATACCCCAGTGTTTAGTCCAATGCTCGATATGTAGGAAGAATATTTGTAAAATCAACAGATGAAGAAAATATTGGGAAAGTGGGCAAGGGATAATGCAAGCCCTCTAAGGAGTGGTTGCCTGGAAGGTTTTTGGGAACCTCCCACCTTTCTTTTCCACCCCTATTTTGAACCAGATGTGAGCCCAACCTCCCTTGTTTTACAAAGAAGGAAACTAAAGCCCAGATAGGGAAGAGACTTCTTCAGGTTCACAAAGCAAGCTGATGACATGGATCTGGATCCAGAACCACGCAAGTGGTTGTTCTGTTACCTCACCTTGTCTCGGTGAATGGTCGAAGAACAGGAGGTGGGACAGACCACTGGGACACCCTGGGCATTTGCACACTGACAGAGTAATCTGTCTGATGGAGGCTCCATTCCCTTTCCAGAAGTCTGTGGGTAATGCTTAATGGGGCTGGGGCTAGTGGAGGTGATTAAGGTTCCTAGGGCACCAAACCCAAGGAGGTGCTCACTCTCAGGTATTTGCCTAACTCTGACAGTGAGCCCCTCACCACAGTTTGTGCCCTCAACACTTCTCTCCCTTCACCCTTGTCCCAGCCCTGACACATGGTGTCTTAGCAACAAGAAAGGTGATGCTAAAGGACTGAAGACTTGAGGACAAAGCCGTACGTCAGCATCTCAGGAAGATTTATCCATCCATCCATCCATCTGCCCACCATCTGTCCATCCATCCATACACCCATTCAAAAATTTGTCCATCCATCCATCCATCCATCCATCCATCCATCCATCCATCCATCTGCCCACCATCCATCTGCCCACCATCCATCTGCTCACCATTTGTCCATGCATCCATCCAAAAATTCATCCATCCATCCACTCACCCAATCATCCATCATCATCATCATCACCCATTCATCCATCCATCTATCCTTCCACCCAACCATTCATCCTTCCATTCGTTTATCTATCACCCATCCATCCACCTCCCTACTTCAGGAAGCTTATATTTTCAATAAATTATTCCCTCCCTCCATCTTTCCCTCCTTCCTTCTTCTTCCTCTTGTCATCTTCTTCCTCCTCCTCTCCTCCTGCATCATCATCTATCCACATATGTATATTTACTCTCTGTGTCTTTATATAGAGATCAGGTCCCTTTCCTCTAGATAATGAAATTCACCTCTTCTTAACTGACACCAACTTTCATCTCCAGGCCTTTGCACATGCTGTCCTCACTTCCTAGATTGCATTTCCCTCCACTTTCAAAAGTTGGTTCCTCTTTATTTTTGAGTCTGAATTCTAGCCAGTGTCTCCTCCTGTGGTTGACCTTTCCATCCATGCCTAGCAGCACCATTCTCCATTCCTAGCAAAACCAAAGATTTTTGTTGAGAATCTCCTCCGTCCTATTATGAAAAGCCTCAACAGGGCAGCACAAGTTAAGATGTTCTAGTGTCACCCAGTCAAGGAGCAGGTGTGTGACCCAAGCCAGGCAACTGGGCTCTCCCCTTCCTCACCCCACTTCCTAAGATTTTTGTCTTGAGTGGAGGGAGGAAAGGAAGGGAAAACAAGTGGTTGGAAGACATTCATTCCCGTAGCTTCACTGGGAGTGATCTACGCTGCCAGACACTAGGATGACCCCATTCTTCACCTCCTCTGAACTCCAGCTCCTCTCCCACTTTTGAACTGCCCATGGCTCCTCCAACATGTCCTTTACCCTGAGGGATACCAAGGTGGTCTTCCTTGCTTGCCCAAAGACTCCCAACAGACTGACCTCTTCGGAGAGGACTCTAATGACTTTCTTTCCTCAAGTTGGTCCCCTGATGCCTCAGTCTCTTCTTTGTTTCTTAGAAGCAATCCACACAACTTGTGTTTATTTCATTTATGCCTATGTACTTGTTTTGTTTCTATTTGTGACGTCCTTGCATTTCTGTCTCTTCCAGTAGAATGTAAATTATAAGTATCCTGAAGGCAGGTGTGCCGTCTGTCTTGATCACAGTTTTCTCAGGGCCTAACGCAGTGCTTGGTACATAGTAGGCACTCCACACATATCTGTTTAATTATGACGAAATTTTGAAGCTGCAGTCAGGGAAGTAAATGTTCCCAAAGCCACTTTCTCAGTTGTGGAGTTAGGGCATCTCACCTTCTGGACCCACCTCTCTCACTTTCTGTCCTATATTCCTATTTACTTCTTGAAGTGTTTATGCAATCATAGACTTAAAGATGCTATAGAAAAACAAAAGCCAGAGAAGGTTGGAATCAGAAGTGCCAGCTCTAGAGTCAGAGAGACCCGGGCCCTGGTGCTGTCTCTGTCCTGTTCTTACCTGCAGCACGTTGAGCCTCAGTGTTCTCATCCTTAGAATGGGGATAATAGTGGTGCCATCAAAGGGATGCTGTGAAGATTAAACATAATAGTGGTGCCATCAAAGGGATGCTGTAAGGAAGAGTAGCATAGTACATGGCACTCGGAAAGCATTCAATAAGTATTTGTTGAATAAAAATGAACTCATGAATGAAGTTTGAAACAGTGTCTGTCCTTGGAAGAAAATGTTCTCCCTTAGAATTCTGATGAGCCATAATGCATTTAAAATGCATGCTGTCATCACTGTCCCCTTACTCCTCAGGTCCCCCTCCTTCCTCCCCACCTGGATAATCATGGGGAGCTATTTTTACATCTGACGTAGTGGAAAAGTAGCAGATTAACAACCCCAGAGAGGTACATTGCTTCTATTAATATTAAACAGGGTATTAATTTTACCAGTAACTGAAACATTAAACATGTATATCCATTAGTAGTCATTATTTTAATCTCCAGAAGCTGTCTAGTGTATTCCAGGAATAGGTCTGATCCATTCTTCTCTCCCTCTTTTTCCTAAATTCACTGGTGAATCAGGGATCATGGTTTTCATTTCCCTGAGGGGAAATAGATAATTATAAACTCATAGTTGTTAAGGGAGAAAGTCTGAGAAATCATCACCCTCAATTCCTTCATTCAATACTGCAAGCCCCCTCAAGACCAGACTTCATTCTGTGGAGTACTTGCTGAAATTGGTCTTCTTAAGACCCCCCCAACCCCCCACCGAGGCTGCCTCCCTGATGTGCTGGCTCTGAGCATCAGCTCTAGATGGTAATTGGTAGACATCCCCGTCTTGACTGCTAATGACACTGTCAGTGGGTCTAGCTCAGCATCTTTGCAATGACAGTAAGAAGGACTAAGGCTAGTTAATAATGGTAGGACACACGGTATAGGGTGAGTGATGGGCAACTTACTGAGCAGTAACATACGACATCCAACAACTGCTCATAATATATAGAATAGGGTTGATTTCAACTCTTACCTGCTCATCAACCAGCAGCTGCTGAAATCCTCAAGGTGGGACTGAGGGACAAGTATGGCCCAGTGGTTAAGGACAGCCTCTGGTGTCAGACAATTTGGGTTTAAATCTAACTCTACAGTGGCTATCAGACATCAGGCAGTGCAGTACAGGGATCCCTGAGGAAGAGCAAATAATGAGTGGAGCCAAATGATTGTTCCAACTCACTGCCTAAAGAGCTCCTAGGACAGCCTGGGAATGAGAACCCAGGCTGAGTCTGGTGGTATTTCTGAGTTGAGGAGATGGAGCTGAGAGTCTGGGGAGACCAAGGCAGCTAATTTACACAGGGTGAGTACCCAGAGTACCATAGAGGAAAACATTACAAAGGGAAGATCTCCAGAGTCTTCAGGAAAATACCAATCAGTGCATGTATATGAGTAATCAGGTCTGGAGAAAAAAACCCCACCTGAGCAGAAGGAGCAATGCTTGAACCTCACACAGAATCAGATACCTTTTGTGTTCCCACCAGCAACAGTGGAATGATTCATAATTCCCAAGACATGTATAGTTTACTGAGAACAAAATTGCCTCAGTAGTGTGGAAAATTAGCCCTAGGCCTAAGCTGCTCTAGTCCCACTTAAAAATGACTAAAAGAAAGTCTTCAAAGGACCAAAATCTTCCCAGGTAATTTCACTGCACCCTAGTACAAACTCAGGAATATTTATAGAAACACAGTAATATCCAGTATTCAATACAGTAAAATTTACATTATCATTTAGTAAAAAATTACCAGGCATTCAAAGAAACAAAAAGCCACTATCAATAATGAGAAAAGTCCATCAACAGATACACAGAAATGACACATATAATAGAACAAGTAGAAAAGGATGTTAAAACTGTTATAACTATATTTTTCCACATCAAGAAAGTAAAGAAGAAGTTGAGCATGTTCAGAGGAGATGTGAAAGACCAGGGTTGAACTTCTAGAGGTGAAAAATGTAATGTCTGAGATGAAAAACACACTGGATGAGATGAACAACAGATTAGACACTTTAGAAGAGAAGGTTAGTAAACTTGAAGATAGCAATAGAAACTATCAAAAATGAAATTTCAAGGAAAAATGATTAAAATAAATGAGCAGAGAATCAAGTTCAACAGACTAATGTATGTGTGAATGGAATCCCTTGAAGAGGGGTGAGGGGAGAAGAAAATACATTTGAAGAAATTAATGGGTGGAAAATGTCAAATTTGATGACAACTATAAACCCAGAGATCCAAGAATACCAGTGAGCCCCAAGTGTACGTGCGTGCGTGTGCGCGCGTGTGCACACACACACGAAGAACACTACATCAAGGCAAGTCATAATCAAATTGCTTAAAACCAATGATAAAGAGATAATTTTGAAAGTATCCAGAGGGAATAAACAAAAAAGCAGCCAGAGAAAAAAGATGCATTATGTAAAGAGGAAAAAACATGAGAATAAAGGCAGACTTCTAGTCAGTAACAATGCCACTCAGGGGATAATGGAGCAACATCTTCAAAGTACTTAGGGATAGAACAATTGTCAATCTAGAATTCTGTACCCAACAAAAATATCATTCAGGGCCACCTGGGTGGCTCAGTCAGTTAAGCGTCTGACTCTTGATCTCAGCTCAGGTCTTGATTCAGGGTCGTGAGTTCAAGCCCTGTGTTGGGTTCCTTGCTGGGTGTGGAGCCTGCTTAAAAAATATTGTTCAAACATGACAGGAAAGAGTTTGAGACACATAAAAGCTTAAAGAATTTATGACTATCTGATGATCACTGTAAGGAATGATAGAGGATATCCTTTGGGCAGAAGGAAAATAATACCAGATGGAAATCTGGATTTACACAAAGAAATCAAGAGTACCAAAAATGGTAAATGTGTGGGTAAAAGTGAAACACAAAAAATATCTTGTAAATATAATCGACTACTTAAATAAAAACAATAACAATATAGTAGAAGATTTATAGCATATGTAGAAGCAAAATGCATACAAATAACACAAGAGCCAAAGGGGGAAATGGTAGTGTATTAAAATTTTTATACTACATATGAAGTGGCATAATATCATTTGACTATTTTCAGTTAAAGAGGCATACAGTGAACTGTAAAGCAATGACTAAAAATCAAAGCAATCAAAACAAAACAGTTATACTTAATAAGTCAACAAAAAAAGACAAAATAGAACAAAAATAATCAACAAGGTGAAAGAAATAAGAGGAAAGAGGGAATAAACAACAGATGGGATAAATAGAAAGCAAATAGCAAGATGGTAAATTTAAACCCAGTTCTCCAACATCCTACCAGTTGTGCGTGATGAGTTGAACAGCTCCGTGCCCCAGACAACAGCATGATATCCGCACACCAGTAAGCACTCATTACCACTCACAGGTCTTGCTGTTGGGGGAGAGCAGTGTCTGTGAGTTGGTCATGAGGAGAGGTTCCTTCTCATCGTCCTGTCACCACAGTGCTCCTGCTTTGACCCCTTCCTGAACTTCCACACCCTGTGCAGTCTGGGTTGGGGAAGAGTCTCAGTCTTTCTGTCTGCAAATGTTCCAAGTCTGTGAACTAAAGAGTCAACAAGTGTCTTCTTGTACATTTAGCTGTCACTCATAGATCCAGGAAGCTTGCTTTCTTCTCTGCAAAAAGTTTGTGGCTGCTGATGCCAGGAATGTGCTCTCTCTGTCTTCTCTTCTTATCTGCATATTTCTCAGCTGCCTTGAATCTCTGCAAATGCCTTATAGGGAGAGCTACAGGTTTTGTAGGAAGAGGGGAAGCTGCCCATTTGGGAGCCACCCATGAGATGTTCCTGATTGCATAGACATGCCATGCTTCTCGCCTCTCTGTCCAACACCCACCCCCTCCCACGTTGGCCATAGCAACTTGACTTTGCTCTTCAGGTATTACCATGCTTACCTTGGGGGACTGTGACCTATTTTACACCTCAACCAATAATGCAGTGCCTCCTTGTATAAAGTAGATGCTCAATATACATCTCTTGAAGGGATTTCATCATCCCTTCATCCCTTAGACCAGTGGCTGAGTGAGTTGCTCACTGGTCAGAAGTTCAACTGGGCCTGGGTCTGGGATGTTCTGTGCCCTAGTCTGGTGCTGCATTCATGCTGTACATGGTCTCTCACAATGGTCCAGCTCTATGATGCTGCCACTGTGCAGGGGGTGGGGGCATGTAGCTGGTTCTTGGGATGATGGCCCAGCTTTGTGCTGCAGGCCTGGAGGAACCCATCAGCTGCCTACCTTCCTCCCTCACCCAGATTTGTAGATCCTTCCAGGCTCATGTGTCAGACAGCTCCACCCCATCCTTACCTGTCCCACATTTCCTGGTTCCTTCAGACAGTTAGTGGCTGCTTGGGGACCCCGGGGTCATGGCTGCTAGTTCATGCTCTTGGCAGCTGTTTGGTAGCAATGCCCAGGCAAGAGAATCTCTTCTCTGTTGTTTTTTAAGAACACAGGGACTTCCTCCAATCTCCTGACCCCACTCTCCTGATTAGCCCCTCCCCCTTGGTGACAAGGGGCAGCTGGGAACACAGCACAAGGCTTTCTCCTGTGTGAAGAGCTTCTAGTCTGTGGCTCTTGAGTTTTCTGCTGGCATCCAGACAAGAAACTAAAGGTGAATGTACTCCAGAATCCCAAAGCATTGGCAATTTTCTCCCCTTAGTTCAGAGCACTCCCTCTGCTCCCCCCTTGCTACCCAGGGCCCCCCCCAATCCATACCATAAAATGTACAACGTCACTTTGTTCGATGAAGGATCCTGCTGAGTATTTAATCCTTATTTAACACTGATGTTTATTTTATTTTAGAGTTTAAGTTAATCAGCCTCAGGATACAAAATTAGATAAGGCAGGGATTTAGCTCCTCTGGAAAGATTCATTTAACGTCAAGCTTTCTTAACTCTTCGGCTGCAGGGGAGAAGTGTCCACATATTTCTCGGAAGAGCTGCCCAGGGGCTGGCCAGGTGGACGGCTGTGCTCCCTCCTCGCTAACCTCCCAGCCAGGGCACGGCGTGATTTGACACGGGTTTTAAAATACATGCTTTGCCATCTTAACAGTAAGAAACCCTCACAAAAGGAAAGAGAGATAACATGAAAGTAGAAGAAAGTCAAAAGGACCTACCTATAATTCCACCACCTGAAGATCACAACTCTTACCATCGGGGCATGCTTCCTTTCATACTTTATCAGCCCTTTGAAACGATTATGCAGTGTTACAAACATACAGACCTGTGTAGAGAGCAATGATATAACACTTTCATGTACCTGCCAGTTAAGCATAATGCATGGTAGCTTTATGACACATTTGCTTTGGAGTGAATTTTTGAGGACATAATACAACAATACAGCTTTTATTGATGCTTGACTTACATGCTCCTTATGTATTGCACTTTCCTCTTTACTCCATACTATTCTCAAGTCAGTGTCTACCTTTTCATGCCTGTTTTTTAACCGAGTATGCATGTGCATGAAGAACACACAGTCTTATATTTTCAGACCACAATGCTTTGAAACTAGAACTCAATCACAAGAGGAAAGTCGGAAAGAACT